AATTACAGTTAAATGCGTGTATATTGGATAGAGACATATTTATGTGAATACCAGAAAAAGATAAGTATTTCAATAATATTTACAACATAAATGATAATAAATAAACGTAAATATGAGAGATAAATGCAAGGGTACATTGATTATATTGTTATAACATCACGACATTGAGATTACTATTTATATACTTATATATATATATATACAGGGTGTCCCAGAATTGAGTGCAAAAAGGTACGTATTCTACAGCTCAAAAGAGGACAAAATTGTCTTATAAACATATGTCCGGAAACGCATCACCTCTAAGCTACACTTCCCCAATATTATCCGAAAAAACTCGAAAAAATATCCCTGTGCATTTTATTTATTTTTATTGTCAAAAATTGACTCAATTTTCATAAAATTCGAAGCTCAAATTTAGACAATATACAGAACATTCGAGTTTTTTCGGATAACATTGGAGAAGTGTAGCTCAGAGGAAATGCGTTTTCGGACATATGTTTATAGAACAATTTTGTCTTCTTTTGAGTTGTAGAATATGTACCTTCTTTTGCATTCAATTCTGGGACACTTTGTGTGTGTGTGTGTGTATACAGTGTCCCAGAATTGAGTGCAAAAAAAGGTAAATTATATACTAATAAGGGTAATTATATATTAAAATTATATATATATATATATATATATATATATATATATATATATGTATAACTCAACATAAACATATATTATACATTGCTATTTATTTTTCGACTATTCATTCAGCAATATTATGTTCAAAATTCTGTAAATATAGGAATAATTTTCTATTGAGATATTTAGTAACGCACAAAAAGAAAAATCGTATTGTTTTGAGATTAGAAATCTTGATTAAAATTAATAATTATAATGCTTAAAGATGATATTACATTATAAAATATAAATAAAATTATGACATCGTAAAATATGATATCGAAGGTATTATTTTGCGAAAAATGCAATTTAGTTCGCATCTTTTTCGCCTGTCAACGAGAATCAGCTGATCAAGAATTAGAGTCAATTAATTGATTTAATGACTGGTAAGAAAAAAATTACTCGAATTACATTAAATCGAATTACTGTTGATTAATACGAGTAAAAAAATTCTCTATACAACACATACACATTCATAAATTATGATTCGCTCATAGATCGCTAAGTAAACAGACTAGGTCTCTTTTGTTTTAGTTTTTTGTGTAGTGACTCGAGAATCATTTATCATTGAAAAGATAACAAGTATGCTCAATGGTAAGCAATTATTCTAGTATTTTTGCGTTCTTCACAATCGATGACGGAAGCACTCTCATGAGGTCCTTCATAGTCAGCTGACCACTCCAATATGTCACGCGGTATCTTCGATTCTCGATAAACGAGAATTCATTCTATTCATGGTCCAACGTAACGCGATGTAACAATGACCGATTCAAGGTGTTGTCTTTGTAAAGAAGATTGACAATTCTTTAAACTCCTAATTTAATCTAGAGTTAAATATTTTGAAATATTTTCTATTAAGGGAATCTTAAACGGTCTTGAGTTTCAGTCCTGTTTTATCAACAAAATGTGAGGTTAGATTCAACTATAGAATTATAAATTGATAAAGAATTCATAATTTTATACCTAGATATATGAGACTATACAGATTGATAAATCTTTTTCATGTACAAATCAAAATATTAATATTAACAAATTGCGAAGTGTTCTAATTTCAGTAAAAAAACAATCCGTATAGCCACTAAATAGATTTATAGTTAAATCTAATCTCACATTTTGTCTATAAAACAAGATTGAAATTCACAATGCTGTTTAGGATATCCTTAAGATTCCTTGGTACTCGTCGCGGCCATGTTAGATTATGACGTCAGAGGCTAAAAAACATACGCTGAAAATTTTTGCGTGCTATTTTTAGATAAAAAGATATTTTGATAAAAACACAAGTTTGTATGGCTTTAGTATACTTTTAAAATATCCCGAAAACTAACAGCTGTAAAATGACTGACATGAGACCTGATTCATATATAACCTTGCACAGTCATTCCGCCTGACAAAATCTGATGTTTCAATTAATTTTTGGTTGTTGACAGTCAAAGAAAAAAGTTTTCGGAATATTTTAAAAGTGTCAAAATCATCTGAAGTTGTGTTTTATCAAAATATCTTTTTATCTAAAAATGACACAAAAAGTATTTTCTTGCCTCTGATGTCACAATTCAACATGGCTGCGGATCAAAGTCTTAATGATTACAACATTCTTTATACACATTCCAATATATTATGTTAGATACACTAAAAAAAAATTATTGAATTCGAATAAATATTTATTTCAATACTGCCTCATAAATCATTTATTTGAAACTAATAATAATGATTTAAAGTAAAAAAAATATTTATTTGATATAAGAAAATCCTTTTCACAACACAGATAAATATTTATTTGTCAAATAAATGATTAATAAGGCAGTATTAAAATAAATATTTATTGAATTATTAATTTTTCTTTTCAGTGTATAAATATTACGTACAATTTATATTCTGATTCATACATTACACAATAATAATCGTTCGAAAATTAATAAGTCAATTCGGTATACTTCTGTAATGACGAAAAACTAGCAAATATTTCGGATTTGTCTATAAATCAAATTGTTATTAATAATTAATAAATGTTTATTATATCAAAAGATCTTCGTTTTTCGATAAAGAAAACACAACATCGTAATCACACGAGAAGTTGTTTTTACATCAATTTTGTAGCAATACGCGCGAGCATGATCGACAGGTTTGAAGCTGCTGTATGAATATTTTTCTCGACTCGACTCGGCTCACCGTAATTTAGGCAAGTGTGGCATATAATTTTTGCGATTCGCGGAAAAGCGTTACGCCATCTATCTAGTTAGTCGACCTAGTTTCGCGTTCTACGCAACGGAAACTTGGTACTCTTTTCGCGTCGTGTCATGTTGCCGAGATGCAATTACTCACGCACAACCGGAAAGGAGAGCCGGATAATTATAACCAGTAAATAATAAAATCAGGTCGGACAGTTGATTACAAGGCTCGTTAACAGCGCGAGTCGAAATCTCGCGGTGACATTTACGATCTAACTCGGACGATCGCGCCAAGTCGGATTCACGAAGATTCTATACCAGATGCATCTGATAAGTGTCTGTTCTATATACTGGATTCGCATGGGTTTAATTTGTGATCGAACAGTCTAGAAACTTATTGCAAAAAGTATACGACGTTGCTAAAATCATATCTCGCACCTTTATGATCAGATATATATATATATATATATATACAGAGTGAGTCTTTTTAATCTTATATGTAATTTGCAACAATTTTTTTTAAACAACTATATGTTTTCTTTACACTAATCGATTTCTCTCATTATTTTGCGCATAAGCATTAAGTTGATCAAAAACTAAATATTTTACATATATTGTATTTTATGTTAAAATACTGTATCTTTTAAGCCTTATAACTCGAAAAAAATACTTATAACGTAACATTTCATTATGGTGTTTCGAAAAGCTCTTAAGATAAGGTACATCAATATGTAAACAAAAATAGGGGTTTTCATTTAAAAATTTCAAAGTAAATTTTACGCGGCCTTAATGCTATTTATAGTCAAACACTAATATTACTATTTAATGCGCTACTTAAAGCCCTATAATTTTTTTTAACATTTTTTTTCAAAAAGCCTTTGTTTTCGAGATATTTACATATTAAGATTAAAAAGATTCACCCTGTATATACACGATCGGAGAGAAAGAGAGAACACGAAGATGGTAATAAAGTGAGTCGTGAACATACGGTAATCTAACGGTACAACACAAAGAAGAGTGAATGAAAGAAAGTATAAAATAGGCGCATATATTGCAAGGCCCAACTCTGGGAAAATAAGGATAATTACCGGTACACGGAAACAAGAATATATTTTTATCGAAAGAAAGCAATCCTTTTCTTCTCCACATTATGACAAAATTCAATTTTATAAAATATTTATAGAGATGTTTTAATATTACAATTATTTATGTTTAATAAAATGCACGATAGAAATATATTTTTTAGATAAAGAGTGTCTATATATGAAAACAATATGAATCAAGATGAGTAATGAAATTAATTAAATGTAATTTAAAAAATTAACGCGAAGAGGCGCTGTTAGCGTCATCAAAAATAAAATTTGGCTGTCATAATAAATGCATGTGTGTGTGTGTGTGTGTGTGTGTGGGGTGTGTGGGGGTGTGGGGGTGTGTGTGGGGGTGTGTGTGGGGGTGTGTGTGGGTGTGTGTGTGTGTGTGTGTGTGTGCGTGCGCGTGCGCGTGCGCGTGTGCGTGTGCGTGTGTGTGTACAGGGTGTCCTAAAAAGATCGGAACATTGAAAAATCTCGAAACGTATATGTTTTACAGAAAAAAGTTTCAGGCAAAAGTTGTAGGGTTTAAAAAAATCTATTTACTGATCTTATCAGTTTGACCTTGGACGGCGTTACCAAGGTTAGAATGAGGTCACCTTAAATTTCTTAAATGGAATTCTATATTTTTTATTACATATTCTTGTAGCTTACTTCGAGAGCTTTCAAAACACTATAATTTATTAAGTTTTTATAAGATACTTTCCGAGTTACAAGGCTTGAAAGTTGTATTACCTAACCACCGGTATTAGCGTTATTTAAATAGGAAACCCTATTTTTATTCCAAAAATCGGATGAATCAATCATTTTATCTGTTTATTTTACCTGTGTATATATATATATATATATATACACAGGTAAACTAAACAGATAAAATGATTGATTCATCCGATTTTTGAAATAAAAATAGGGTTTCCTATTTAAATAACGCTATATATATATATATATATATATATATATATATATATATATTACGCAAGCCGATGCGTTAACATATTGTAACCTATCTACATACGTCAAGTGAGAGAGACACATAGGTGTAAAATAAAATATAAAAAAAAGAAATTTTTTCGTTACTCACCGGAACCGTAATCTATACTCGGCGTGGGCGGAAGGCTATTCTCAATGGCAGCCTTGCTGAACAGATAGATCGGATTCGTGTCGGTTCCAGCCGAGTAAGAGCATACGCGTGCAGTGGGTTCCAGGCACTCGCCTCCGCTCATAAGCAGCACCTGATGCGTCGCTACTACACCGCATTCCCTCTCGATCGCTTCCATCAGCTGGCTCACGCTGCGCATACAAAATTAATTATGCATAAATAAGCAACGTCTATACACTCTTAGATGTTAGAATATGCGGAACAGAAATTCGAGATCTTTTTTTTCAATTTTATAAACGAGACACTTTTTTGCAAATAATTTTCTCAAGTTTTTTTTTAACGATGAGCTCAATATTCAAAGCATTACAAAACTAAAAAGAAGAGTTGCAGCGATTTTTCGCTTCTCGGATAGAATTTTTCAAATTTATCATATTTTTGGTTTATATTTCATTAAGTTTACATTTTAATTTTCTTCAATGCATTTCAAGAGGTTTATTGAAAAATGTTCAAATTTAAGTTGATTTTTTATTTGCAAAAAATTATGACTAGTTTTTTTTATATAAGAAGAATGTGAAATTGAAATTTACTTAGAAATTCTTATCTTTTTATAAATTTTTTCTTTTTAAATGTATTAGAAACACACACACACAGTCCCTCTCTCTCTCTTTCTCCCTCTCCCTCCCTCCCTCCCACCCTCCCTCCCTCTCTCTCTCTCTCTCTTTCTTGATGTGTCTCTTTCGGAAAAAGTCAAAATTCAATCAATTATATACATATATCGAAAAATATTGCCTCTGTCATGTTTCAATGAAAATACAAATATAATTATATTACGATAATGCTAATCCCAATATCTTCTATCGAATCTCAGAAAGTTTCTCTTCCGCTTCAATAAATCAAGGACAACATTACGCCTCTAGGCAAGAAAGAAGCAAGTTGTTCAGTTTGAAAGTGATTAAATCAAGTCAAATCAGGTTATACAATCTGATTTCTGCAAAGATCTATATTGGATTGTAATGGATACATTTTTTCGTCACATGTTTAACAGCGACGAAGATAATGAAAGAAAGAAAATTATTAAGAACGCGATTAAGGTATATATTGCTCATTTTGTAAATTCTTTAATATATTATAATAAAAATGATTGTGTCGTATAATAATATGTAAAGCGGTAAAAGATTGTCGTTTATTAACACAATGTTTAGACAATACATATGAATAATAAACTACATACCATTATTTGATTAATTATATGCAGACTAAGTGCACTGGTGTAGAAAACATCAAAGATAAATAAAGAAGACAAAAAACTGATGTAATTATACAGCATATTAATCCTTGCGAAAAATTGCATATAATACAGGGTGTTCCATAGAAAATTGCTAAAACTAATCAGCTGTTATTTTTTAATGCATGCAGTTATTATTGAGAAAATAAAAAATGTGTTGAAAAAAGTTGCAGAGAAACTCTGCAGTTTTTAATGGATATAAATAAAATGTTTGTATAAATGTTATTAAAAAAAAGTAATAAAAAGAGTACTATAATAATCACATATGTAAATTAATGACAAATATTTTCAAATTGCGCGCCATTTGAATTTGTACAAAATTCTGTTGTTTTACGAAAACTCGAAACAACTTTTTCTACTAATATGTCATTTTTAATGTTATTGGCGATCTTTTTTAACAGCTGCTATTAAATCTGGCACTGTTGAAAATATTTATCATTAGTATATGTGATTTTATGTGATTATTAGCACTTTATTATTTTTTATTAATAAAAAATAAACTGATATACAAATATTTTATTTATATCCATTAAAAACTGCAGGCTTTCCTGTTTCTCACACAATTTTTATTTTCTTAATAACTGCATACATTAAAAAATGACAGCTGATTATAATTTCAGCAATTTCCAATGAGACATCCTGTATATATATTTTAATTTTTAATTTTAATTTTAATCCTCTTTTGTTTCCTTACAATCATGATCCATATTCATGCGCTTTTAATTTATGACATTTTAAGAAACTTGAAGTCTCGACTCGTTCAAACATACTACATATATTAGTCATAAATGACACGCTTAAAATAAATCGGAACAGTAGACTAGGCATCATTAACATCCTGCAAGGTTAACTAACGGATATGGAATCATTCTTTTAAGAAAGTCCAAAGAATAGAAGGAAAGATGTACGCATTAATTATAAAAGAACTAGGTTTTGCAGACAATAACGATTTGATTATAGCGCTAAAAAAAGAAAAATAAATAATAAAATCATCAAATTTGCGAAAAATTTCATTCGTAAATGGTCATAACAATTGTCTTAATCGACATACAAGATATCCATTAGTTATAAAAAGCGTTCCAGAAAAAAGTGATCTTTCTAGCACACTATTTCTTACGCAATCTCCACTGTGCAATTATTTCCTTCCTATTCCTCGACATGAAAATCGGATCAATGATGTCTCATTAATGAGCAATTTAAAGTTCTCGGATTGCTTCCACAGCGTATATCGATCAATCAAACGCTTCGCATTGGCGCGCGCGCGCGCACACAAGAACGTGCATGCATGTGTGAGAGTGGAATATTGCCAGTCACACGTTTGCGGTTGCACTACAGCTGATTACGGTACGCGCGTTCAGCTGCGCGAAATCTCGAGACTGCGTGTCGTCGAGTTAGGCGCGTCATGGCGCGACTCGTATTCCACGCGCGCATGCAACATACACACGTTGTTGTCGCTGACTTGGTTAACGCGTGTATCAGAATCCCCCGGCAAGTTTCTTTCTTTTTTTCTCTTTCTTCTTTACATATATTGACAGTTTTACAGTTTCTAAACCTATGTCAGAGATTTCACAGGCGTATTCCAAGGGTAAAAATAAGAGAAAAAGTTCCTATAAACATGGGTCCAAAAATGCTTTTCTTCATTCGAGTTATAGCTTCCTAAAGTTGCGGGAGCAAAAATCGAAAATGTATTTATACAGGATGTAAACTCAAATTTTAGAAATAAATTACCTGAGGATTCCATAATTTTCCAGGTACTTTTGTTCAAAATTTCAGGTAAAATTAAAGTATTTTAAATAATATTTAGAATACAATTTTGAAATACTTAATTATTTGTTATACGTAATTTTTTAACATAAATGAAGTATTTTTTAAATATAATAATGTAATATAATATATTATATTATAATAAAATACATTTTAATATAAACTTTATATAAAACTAATAAATTTTTTATATTCTTTAAAACTGTTTTAAAATCAAGGCGACAATTTTTTTTAATTTCCTGAGTTCAAATCAAATTCCATGATAATTCCATTTTTCAAAGTAAGACAAAATTCCCTGAGAATTCCAGGCTTTCCAGATTTTTACAGGGAGTATACACCTTGTTATAGCTCTCGGAGATTTTCACAGATTGTTGAAATTTTGCACAGCGTAATAATTAATAACCTTCATTTTTATGCAATTTTGACAATTTGATTCGATTTTGAGAAGAAAATATGAGAGCAATTTTCATTTTTGGACCCATGTTTATAGGAACTTTTTTTCTTATTTTGACTCCTACAATACGTCCTTCAAATCTCTGATATAATTTTAGAAACACCCTGTATATTGTCAAGCTAAGTTCAAGATAAAATTTAAAAATGGTCGAAAAACATGAAACTTTGACAATATGAAAGAAAAGAAACTATGCAAAATGTCCCGTATCCAACGAATGACCGATGTACAGTTAGATTCCAGATGTCATTTGGAGATTACTTTTCCTCAGCGAAAATGTCGAGGCACCAATAATTTTCAAGTTATGAGCGATTGAAAATAAAGAATTTTTTTGTAAGTCTTGTCGAAACAAAATATTAACAAAACTACATTCTTCAGTTAATTTTAGGTAGATGTTCACTTTAATAGAATTTTAATTTAAAGTTTAGTTACAAATATATATGATGACCAAAATTAGGAATGCAAAAATGATAACCACCCTGTAGATCTTATTTACTTTTGCATGTACACAATCATTCTCTTTTCGCATTTTACGTCTGTTATTTTATATAACATTTCTTGATAAAAAGAAACGAAGCACCGGTGACTTACATAAATGACTCATAGATAAAAAGTTTCTTATCAATCAGAAAATATATCATAGAAGATAAGATGCAAGAAAAAGATTATAAGAAGTATATATATTTATATTAATGTGTTAAGCTATAATAATTGTGCAAAAAATGTATACACATGTGCGCGCATATGTAAGTGACTATACACTGTAAAAAAATATGTAATATATTACACAAAAATATGTAAAATTACATAAATAATAAGTGTAAAATTACACGATAAATAATAAAAATGTTTACCTATTTATTATTTACCGTGTAATTTTACATTTATTATTTATGTAATTTTACATATTTTTAATGTAATTTTACAAAATTTTTTACAGTGCATTATATCAATTTTAGTGTTTTATATTAATTTTAATTTTATATTAACTTAGTTTTATATTAATTTTAGTTTTTTTATATTAGTTTGAAGCCGGTATTCATAGCCCGAGCTTATATTTAAGATCGTCTTAAGTCTGGTCGGAGGTTGACTTAAGATCCTGTTCAACCAATCAAATGGCTCCGTGGCGTCTTAAGCTCGGACTTAAGATGATCTTAAATATAAGCTCGGACTATGAATACCGGTCTTTAGTTTTATATTAATTTTATATTAATTTTAGTTTGATATTAGTTTTAATGAATTAATTAATTTTATGTTATTGTAAATACTTGAATAAGTTTATCGCGCGAGCAGATTATAATAAAATAAATATACATCAATTCTCTCTCTCTCGCGCTAATGGAAAACTGTCAATCGTTTGATTTTCTTTCACACTATTTTTATAAACGATGCAAAATAATGCCGTATATACATCGGTGACATGTGTTACTACGACCAGACAGAGATTAGTTTATCTAGTTTTGTGTTTAATCGCATGATGCTGCAATTAGGCCGCAGCGTATTTACCCATTCACACTTACACGCGCAGCCGCGATTACTAAGCAGGCGCGATGAATAAAAGCAAGTCTCTCGAAGCGGGAGGAGGCGCCCTCGCGAATTGACACAGATCGTTAATTGCTGCGACAAACGAGGCCGTTGACCGCCTCCTCTCTCTCTATCTTAATCCACAAATAGTGTATATCCGAAATAAACTCGAGAACAAACACTCCTAGATAGAATAGAACTACGAAGAAATTCTACGGCAAAAGTTTGCTAAAAACTCATTCGGAATTATAATAATTTGGAAGCGACGATATATATATTAATTTCAATTTCATATATATATATAAGAAATTGTGTTTTGTACTGTAATTGTAGAATTTTCTATATCTTTATTTTTAAATGTCATCAGCAATTTTTTGCTCAATTGATCTCTGACGTTACTCGCATATATAGAAAGAGAGTAGTATGTAATCTGTCTTTCTTAGAATGCTGCGCATTAAAAGCTTGGCTGAGCTTACGCGATTCGGCGTGCGTGGCATGTTACAAAACGGCCGATGCATCTTGGGCCAATATTATTTTCATAACTACGTGGGGATATTTCTCAAAAGTGCAAAAAGAGAGAGAGAGGGAGAGGGAGAGGGAGAGGGGGAGAGGGGAGAGGGGGGAGAGAGAGAGAGAGAAGAGAGAGAGAGAGAGAGAGAGAGAGAGAGAAAAGTCTTACAAGACATTTCCGATGCATTTATAATGCGCCGATATGACTTTATCTGTAACAAAGCTGTTTATCATACGTCAATGGAAATTATATTATTTTCCTATATTATTCATTCAGCATCGATAACGATCGCGATAAACAAGTAATTCTTTCTTGAAAATGAGTATAAATGATCATGCGACATCAGGTGATGTCATCGTACTAACAAATAATTATGTGAAGTTAACTTTAATCTTTTAGCCTGTCTGTAAAAACTTTTTTCTGATGTGATCAATAATAATATGAAATATATATTTTTACTGTCTTAAATATATATGTAAATATAAAACATTAAATATACTCAATATAAAATATTAAATATAATTATTGTCTTACATAAAATATTGTGTCAATTTATTTAAGAATTTCAATTTATTCTCATAAATTAATAGCGAGAAAAAGGCTTAACAGATTTAAAATCTCATTTCCTAAATTAGTCATTGCTAATTTGACTTAACAAAAATATTGTCGTTTATAGCAAATATTCAAACTCCAGCATTATGTAATATATAAGTGAGTAAAAATCTTAAATATTTATTATCTTGTAATTTATTGAATACGAAAGGTATACACATAATTTTCTTCATTCATCATTTTTATTTTCTTTGTCCTGGGAATCGAACCTGTCTACTCTGTTTTTAATTTTTATTTAGTTGTGTGATACAGAATAGATTCCCAGGACAAAGAAAATGAAAAATTTTAAAAATTTTTATTTTCAGAATCGACCCTCTGCGTGACTTGTCTTTCATTTGAACGGTCAAAGAATATGAAAATCACTGAGCACAAGGTCTGGCCAAGGGTCTGTCAAATAAGAAAGATGTGAAAAATATTCAAAATAAAGGTTCGACAGAAAGAATGGAAGCATGCGGCATGAATGGCTACGATTTCAGGTAATAAATTTGAAAAAAATATTTAAAGTTTTCAGTTGACCCATCCTGTACTAACATTTTCTCTTTTGAAGGACCAAATCCATGGTCGAAACGTCGTGTTAAGGATTAATTAAATAAAGCATTGCCAGTGTAGTCGGATTTTTAAAAAAACCTTTCTTTGATTTGATTTTCTCTTTTTTTATATCTCTCTGTATCTCAAATTAAAATTCTATCATATAAGTTCAATTGAAATCTCAGCTTAAAAATATGATTATTGTAATCTATAATTTTTGTCTAAAGAATTTTAGTTTGTGAAAAGTTTTTCGTCTCGCAATCGCATTTTTAACGGCGAATAATATTGCGAACATTCTTGCAACACGACGAAAAAAAGGAAAATAAATTCCAAACTTTTATTGATCTATTCAAATTAGAATCGCGGGAAATGCTACGGCATATATGACGTTCGCGTCTAGCAAGATAAAAAGATGAGTTGTTGTTCGAACGGAGCAACGGGGAGTATCGAAAGAGTCTACGTTTGCATTATGCGCGTGTTGTTGCATGTTATATGCATTAGAGGGAGAGCTTGGCCGAGTTTTACCGTCGGGTCAAACTCGTGCGCGTCAACCCACACCTATGTACATAAAATACGTGCAGTGCGCGTGCGCATTTTATATATATATATATATATATATATATATATATATATTGTATATTAGGGTGGTCGTTATATAGGTTTTTTCAAAATTTTAATGTTGGATGGTCGTAAATCAGCTCTAAATGTAGAAAAAAAATCTCTAATTTTTCAGATTTTTATTTTGAGTCCTGAGTCTCCCTGTTGGCATGTAATTTTATTAATACTACAGTTCTGCAGCTGCTTCTGTCATCAATTTTTGTTGTAAATAGTTTGAAATTTTAGTGAAAAATTTGAAACTATTTGAAAATACCGAAAAATATAGTATAAAATAATATAAAATAGTTAAATAATATAAATAGCGGAATAGCCCATATAATATTTATGACTATCTTTTATGAAAAATTAAATAATTTTGTTCACTACTTTTGCAGCTGACTCCATCTAGAACTGAAGTAAATTAAGTATTTTTCAAATTATAAAAAATATAATATAAATAATATTTAAATAACATATAAATAAATAAATAAATGAACTGATATAAGAATATAACATAACATGTGTAAACAGGGAGACTCAAGGTTGAAAATAAAAATCTGAAAAAATTAGAGAATTATTTTTTCTACATTTTGAGCTGATTTATGACCATCCAACATGATGTTCAATTTAACGACCACCTTAATATATATATATATATAATTTTCGGCGTAAGTTTGCAATCTAAGGTGCGATTCCAACAAACTTTTGCGCAGCGCAAAAATCTCATTCATGTCTGCACTCTTACAATTCGTTGACCTTCGACGAATCTTGGAATGCGCGCTATATCAAAATGGTGTCTTACCGAATCACAAAGACACGAGCAAAAAGAAAATGTAAAAATGTGTATGCATAGTATCCCAGTAAAAATGGGCAATCTCTAGTAAATATGTAAAATAAGTAAAAATCCCAGAAATTCCTATAAATTTTTTTTCTACAATGTGTCTTTCATACTTGTCTTTAAAGTTAAAAATATTTGTAATTTTGGCTGAATATTTTCAATAAACTTTAACACAGTCAGTAGAATTTTCGTATCATGCAAAAATCATTGTTCTATTATCTGAATAAAAGTTTACTTTGTATCGTTTAAATGTTTTTCTTGAAAACAGTTAATTTTTACAAAATAAATCAAGAGCATGTTTTTCTTTTAGAAAAAGATATTAAAAATCTAAAAAAAAACACGTAAAAATAAAAAGAAACGTTTTGCAAAAAGTTTTGCAAGTTAAGTAATTCACTTCTAGTTTTCCAACATAATTTCAAGAAATTTATGCTATTTTAAAGATCTTTACTTAATATAAAAATGATTACAAATTATTAAAATCTACAGAGTAAAGTAAGTTATTTAATTAAGAAAAATACTTCTCAAAAACTAAAAACAAGATTCTCAAAAAAGATGCGATAAAAATTTTTTATAGAAAAAAATTTTATAGAAACTTATGAAATTATTTTTACCTATTCCGTATATCCACAAGAAATTGAGCTCACTTTTATTGAGCCACCCTATGTGCATGCGTTATAAATAAATTGTAATATATATATATATAGATTTCGTAAATTTGTTTCATGCTTTCAATTTATCTGTATATCAGTATTTATCTTCAATCTCTCTTCAGCCTTCAAATAATTCATGCAATAAAAAATTCATCATTGCAAAAAAAAAAAAAAATATATGTACATAATATATAAATATAAATATATAATAAATAATAAATAAAATTACATATATAAATTTCGTAAATTTGTTTCACGCTTTCAATTTATCTGTACATCAGTATATTTTCTTCAATCTTTTTCAAATAATTCATATAATAAAAATTCATTATTGCCAAAAATAAAAAAATATACGTATATTTAATATAAATAATATATAATAAATAATAAATAAAATTACATATATAGATTTTGTAAATATGTTTCATGCTTTCAATTTATCTGTATATTAGTATTTTTCTTCATCTTTCTTTCAAATAATTCATACAATGAAAAATTCATCATTGCAAAAAAAAAAAAAAAAAAAAATAAAATATATGTACATAATATATAAATATAAATATATAATAAACAATAAATAAAATTACATATATAGATTTTGTAAATATGTTTCATGCTTTCAATTTATCTGTATATTAGTATTTTTCTTCATCTCTCTTTCAAATAATTCATACAATGAAAAATTCATCATTGCAAAAAAAATAAAAAAAATATATACGTATACATAAATAATAAATTTACTTTTGCAGAGCCAGTTTGATGTCGAAGGTGATGGTAGTGCCGGTGTCAACGTGAAAGATGTAGAGCATCGTGGAAGTCGGTTAAAAGTCTTCAACGACAGAGAAACGTGGATGTATTCGCCGCCGTCACGGGCCCCGTCAGCAACAGGAGGCCCACGGCCTCGACGGTTCGTCTAGTCAGCTCGATCGGGGCCGTACCCCACGTTCCTGGTCGTTCGCGAGGACGGCCCCTTCGAGACTATGCCGCATCGATCAACGCGATGATTCTCGACGTCGGTCTCGAGACGAAGCCCAGCTACGTGAGAGTCGCACCACGTCGCGCAATATCATCCAGATTTCTCGAGTGCGCTTCGAAAATTCCTTCGCAGCCTCTCTACCTGGGATTTAAAGGTTATATGGTCTCGAAAATCCCAAGAGATCGGCTCTAACCGTCTTTCCTCACTATGGGGCGTCGCGCCAGTTCTTTGTTTCCTTTGTTCCGCGACTGCGGAAAAGCTAATTCTTTGAAAACTGGAATCTTTTCGCAGGGACTAAACTACTAACAGCGGGACGTCGTTCTTACGATTTTATGATCGACTCCGCTTTCTACTTTCCGCGGAGACTAGAAACACCGGGTCGATCACGTCACCTAGTGCAACCTTACGTCGCAATCTTCGTGCAACGCAATTCGTGATTCACGAACGTGTCATCGAGCCTCACAATCAATTTAGCGGACGCGATGTTCAAGAATTTAATTGAAACGTCACCAGAGTATATTTTCATATGGGATTTCCCTCAAGAAATCTCGAAGGGAGGAAGCCGAGCGTTCTTTAAATCTCTCTTTCCGTCTCTCTCGGAGCGTCTCCGTTGGCGCGATCGATTCGAGCTGCCAAGTTGCCGCCTCTACACGTTTAGGTAGGCATCGAAATCAATCGGCGGACGTCTACTTTTGTTCCAACAGCAGCGGCTTTCCGGGTTTTGGCGAAAATGCGCTCGCGCGCAAGCAGCCGATCGCTCCTAACGTCGGAGAGATATAAATGTGCAGGCTGACGCGTGTTTCGCGTCTATCGTGTCACGTACGGACAGCCGCCTCGGATCAGCTGCTCGCCAAAACAAAGCACTCACGCGCCGCGTTACGCTACCGCGTCCGCTGCGTTTTCTCTCTCCCTCTCTATCCTTTTTTTTCTCCCGTTTTGCTCGACGTTCACATCGACGAGGATTCGGGGACAAGGATTCTTTCCTACTTGTCGAATCTGCGCGATTGATGCGACAATGCGCAATACGTAGATTTACTACTATTAATAGTCATGTGTATTCTTGGCTCGCGTCCCGTCTTACGCATGAGGGACGACGAAAGTACCAAACCGACCGCACGACACAACACACAGACGATGCTGCGCCACCGCCAGTCTATGCGCAGAGCCGTCGCGTCGCATCGAACAAAGAGACTCCGCTTTCCCCGCGGCTTTTCCACAACGACGCAGAGCTCTCTCTCGTCGATACAGACGAATGTTACTTGGAATGTTTTTGCGCTTTACACTCGCGAGGACTGGTTGGACAGTGGCCAAGAATGCGTCGGTCGGAAGGATATATAATTAGACGTGAAGAAAGAAAAAAAGTAGGAGGAGAGAAGACAAATGACCCAGCTCCGCGCAGCACCGTTCAACGTTTCGCACTGACGCAGAGCGTCGCCAGCTGTTTACTATCGAGTCGCGACGAGCGTCGAGCCGAACACAGCCGAGCACGGCGGACAGAAGGACCGAACGAACGGCCGAGTCCGGTGGTAGGGGGCGAAAGAGACTCCAATCGTCGCCGCGCGAACTGTGCTGTGCTCGCTTGACGTCGTTCGTTTTGCGTCGTTCCGCCAGTGACGAATAGCGCGGTACACTGTAAAAAATTTTGTAAAATTACATAAATAATAAATGTAAAATTATACATGATAAATAATGAAAAGGTAATCATTTCTATTATTTATCGTGTAATTTTACACTTATTATTTATGTAATTTTACATATTTTTGTGTAATATATTACATATTTTTTTACAGTGTACGAGTAACCGGGAATATTTTTTCTCCGAATATTTCTTATTGCGAATGGAAAGGAAATGTGTGTTTTTTAATCGCTATTTTTATAAATTGAGAGAAATAAAAAAAAATTATTTTTATTTACATTTTATTTTAATCGGGTAAATAATATTTTTTTTCTATTCTATATATTTTTATATGTATTAAAGTCATATCTTATAGATATATGGACTGGCAATATGTAGCAGACTTTGTCCGGATGAGGAGGTTAATGAGAAAAACATACTTTTTTACTTTTAGTACTTCTTTCTCTAATTTTCTCTGGACACTGTGTGTATTTCTAATACAAAAAACTATAGGTAATTAACAGTTTTTGTTGGCAACCGATCTACAAAGCCTATGATTAAAATTTCTGACTGAGAGAGAGGGAGAGGGGGGGGGGGGGCAGAGAGGAATAATCAATTTTCAAAATGGAATATTTTATTTAGCTATATTGTAATATATGTGATATAACGCAATAATCAGTGTATTATGCTTACAATTAGATGATTTTAAAATTAGCTAGATAAAGATGAGATAAAACTATATATGTAAATTATTAAATAAGGTGAAGATGATTTTGTTTTAAATATATCTAGATAAAAGATAAAATTATATGGCGATTTATCTAAATAATTTTTTAGATTGCTGATGTAAACACAGTTATAAAAAAATGTAAATGGTAAAAGAGATATAAAATATATGTATTCATATTTTTATTTATAAATTTTTATCGCATACTGCTTAAGTTCTACTATTTAAGTATATTTATGTGATTTTAAACCAAAATTATCTGAAAATTATTCTACATAATTTAGAAAAGATAATACTTTTTTCATCTAACAATAAGATGCAAATATAGATAATACATATTTTTATTAATTTATATAAAGATAAGATGAAGCTAAAGTTTCACCTAGGTGATCATCTATATTATTTTATTTAGATAACAGCAAACACTGGCAATAATGTAATTGTATAGAAATATTGTAGACTTAGAAATCTTCTCTCTCTCTCTCTCTCTCTCTCTCTCTCTCTTTTAATAACACTTTCCTGCTACAAAATATAATAAAATCGAAATCTCAATAAATCTTATGATTCAAATATCACCTTATATAAACTTGTAGCTCATATTGTTTCTATTAAATAGAATAAAATAAAATAAAATATTTTTTTAAACAGTTTCTTGTATTATTAGTTTTATTTATATATATATATATATATATATATATATATATATAAATATTCCGTTCTTTTCTAAAGTGAACATTTATTTCGACATTCTCAAGAAATGCAGTTTTCATTGCTCTAACATACAGCAGCTTTGTAGCGTAAATGAGATTATTAATCTTGTTTTCCTTTCACCACCTTCAAGTATACATAAAAAAATTTAAAAATTATAGTTAAAGAAAAAAGAGACAGTGTATCCGTTTTACTTATATATTGTATACTTCTTAATATAATTGTTGCTTGTGGCGAACGTAACAATGCTCGATTCGGCTCGATGCTGCCGTAATCATCTGATTGTTCTGTCGCGCTTTGCGCGACCTTAGGATGAGGCTGTCATTGCTCTTTCCGCAAACTCTCGCGCCACCAACAATAAAACGTATTTAAAAATGCACAATGAATAATGATAAATGTTTAGACTTCAAAGCTCAACTTTTACTGAATGTTTAATTTGTTTACTCTTTCTACCACGCGATCGATATCTGCACTAGAAATATAAATATTAACATATAATATATATATATGTACATATATGTATACAATATTTAAAATATATTATTCATAAGAAATTTTACTTTTATATATAACGAGTTTATCTCTCTTTTTTGAATCTTGATAGAGCTATCTAAATAAAGAGCTTCATACAATATACATATTGCATTTTCAATTTAGAGATGAGAGCGGACGATGCAGTGCAAGAAACGAGCGATCGATATTTTTCCGTATTATTCGTATAATAAGAGGATTTGTTATACAAAGAAAGAAGCATTTTTCTATTTATTCAGATCAGATTAATAAACAGGGTGTATACTCAAATCTTAGAAATAAATTCCCTGACGATTCCATGATTTGACAGGACATGTTTTTACTTTTGTTTAAAATTCCAAGTAAAATTAAAGTACTTTAAATAATATTTGTAGAATACAATTTTGAAATAAATTTATTTGTTATACATAATTTTTTAACATTAATGAAGTATTTTTTCAATATAATAATATAATATAGTATTTGTATTATATAAAATATATTTTAATACATACTTTATATATATACTTTATATAAAACAAATAAAATTTATATTCTTTAAAACTCTATTTTAAAATCAAAAGGGCAATTTTTTTTTAATTTCCTGAGTTCAAATCAAATTCCATGATAATTCCATTTTTCAAGGTAGAACAAAATTCTCTGAGAATTCTAGGTTTTCCAGGTTTTCCAAGGAGTATACACCCTGTTAACCCTTAGTCCCAACGGTTCTTTTCGGCACCTTTAATCCCGGGTCGTTTGCGTCTTTGCGTTATTTGGATCAGTAAAAACGCTTTAAAAAATCTGAAGAAATTCATGGAGCTTCTTGCAACCTTCAACTTGAAGTCCCAATCATAATATTTCGATAAAAATTATTTTTTTATATAGTTTGTTATTAAGAATGGAGGTACCTAAGGAAAATCACTTGTTCGTTTGGGTCGCAAACGACCCATGAGTCAGGACTAAGGGTTAAATCTCTTCATTTGGGAAGCCTTTGTCATCAAGAAGCTCATAAAATAAAAAGTAAGACGCCTTGTCGCTAAGTGCGAGTCAAGGGCGATCGAGAGTAAAAGTAAATGTAGTGAAACGCGCCATTGGTTTGAAATCTGACAGAATTCGGAGATTGTGACGCATTCGCGGCGCGTTTGATATCGCGATTAATTAGAATACAATGAGTTTAGACATGCTGAATTTTAATTCGTTCAAATCTGTATAAGCGTAGAGTTTACTGCGTCGCGTCGTCGCGAATAGTTTCGACGCAGTAAAGGCCAATCTTGTTGCGTTGTAATTGCACATACACGTGCGGCAACTGATAAAGATGTCTTGAGAACTTGTGCTAAATATGTGACAAGAAAAACTGTGCATATGTAATAAACTGTGCAGTCATGTAGTTATCGAGAACGACGCTAGAAATAATATATTCAATAAATTTTTCTTTCGAGAAAATACGCATATATTAATAATTTTTTCATTATTACATATAGATACCATCATAGATTACAATACACATTTCAAGTAATCCATGCTGTACGTTTTGAAAAAAATTTATGATGTGTAAAGAGCGCATAGATAAATTCGGTGCGCAATTATTCAATATTAGTGACGCGATGCTTCGCGAAGGAATCGCCAATATGCTAAACGTTTTGATAAAGTTGTGAGTCAGACTTTTACACAGGTATACTCATACCAATGCATCTTTCACATTGATCGTATCAAGTCGCACTTCGTTAAATTCTCCAAGTATGCAGATATGTGCGTGTGGGGTGTGTACGTGTGTGTATATGTGTGTGTAAATCATTATTTTCACATACTTTCGTATTCTACATCGAAACAGATAAGCAAGACCGTGGCGTGAGCCGCTATTTTTATTTGGCGTATAAATGTATCGAATGAGGATTGGTCCCCCAAGTAACATCAATTTCAATCAATTCGTCCTCGTACGAGACTGCGCGATAATTTTCGATTATTAACGAGTATTTCCCCCTTGTGGAAACATGTTCGCGCGAAAGAGGCTCATGAACTGGATTTCTGTATATATACAGAGAATAGAGAGAACTTTTATGTTGAAGAATGTATGTATATAGGGTGGACAAAATAAAGCGTTACGAATTTTTATCTCTAAAAATATTGTTTCTAGAAAAAATATTTACAACAGATAAAAGTTGTTGGATTTCGAGGTGCAAAATAGTTGGCGCTACTGACTTTTTTCTAAAGGACGATTTTCAAGATCATTTTGAAGGTCATTTGTTTTTTAAATATGGAACCGCCATATTTTTTTACATAAATTGATTCCTCACAATATTCTGCATAAAAAATTATAGGGGTAGGATAGCAAAGAAGTTAATAGTTTACAAGATATTTTAGAATTTAGTTTGACATAATCTTACGTAAACTATGTAAATATTCACTTTCCGATGATTTTATCTTAATATTTTTATGAATAAAATAATGAGAGGAATATCGATTGATGTAAAGAAAACACATAGTTGTTTTTAAGAAAAAATATAGCTGCTAGTGAAAATTACATATACATACTTTTTCTTATAAACAACTATGTGTTTTTTTTACATAATCGATTCTTCTCATTATTTTGTGCTTAATAGTATTGAGGTAAGATAGTCGAAAACTAAATATTTTACGAGATATTTCATAGTTTACGTAAAATTATGATAAACTTAGGTATAAAATATCTTGTAAACTATTCACTTTTTCACAATTCTATTCTTATAACTTTATATGCAGAATATTACAAGGAATCAATTTATGTAAAAAATATGGTGATTTCATAAAAAAAACAAATTACTTTAAATAACATTGAAAATCGCCCTTTAGGAAAAAGTCAGTAGCGTCAATTTCTTAATTTCTTCCTCGAAATTCTGCAACTTTTATTTGAAACAT